AAAGAGCAATTCCTATATTTTCTTATATACAACACATACCTTTTCCCCTAAAATCAGCATCCCAAAATTGGGGTGTGTGCATTAAATGGGGAAGCTAATTTTCTGCCTGGAATACAAACACCCTGCTTTGATTCCTACTCTACACTGCAGTAGCTGTTTCACTACTATTCAGGAAGCTAAGGGAAACATAGATTTAATGACTCCTTGTTTTTAATTCTAGAGGTGTTAATGGTTCTCTCTTCTTTTTAATGGTCTTGATGTTCCACTAAACAAGCTTACTTTTCTTATGCCATTTTTGCTGGGGGGTGGCTGCTTCTGGTCTCTCTCCTCCTATTTCCTAGCCCTCGAATCTCTTTAGGTCTTTTCAGAATAAATCCACCCACAGAGACCAGCCTTCAGCAGCAGATAAGGTTACAACCTTAATTAACAAAGAATGAGAGGGTGAATCAGCTGAAAATAAGACATACAGACATACATCTGGAAAAAAAGTCCTCATTCTGCCTTTCAAACATAAGGTGTGTATTATATTTTGGGGTGTGTTGAAAGAAAATATGCTAAGTTCTTTTCATTTACTAGGATAGGCAGAAAAAACAGAAGCCACCACCCCAGGATATTGGCTGTATGGTAAGACCTAAGCAAAAAAACAAAACAAAACAAAACAAAACAAAACAAACAAACAAAAAAAAACTTACCTAGGTAGATTAAAAGAGTTTCCATGATTGCAAAAACCAGGTGAGTTAGTTAGTGTGTCTATGTCTGGTACACAGAAAGTCAAGTAGAAGCAGAGAGAAACAGAAGAACATAAGCCTAAGTAGAAGCAGAAAGACAGTTTCTTGGCCATGGAAATTATTAGAGAGAGAAGCTTGAGGATAAACAAGTAAATGGCTCATTTCTTTGTTCATTTCTACCACGTTAGGGGGAAACAGAATTCACAAGTGTCCATCCTGGAATCTCTGGATCTGAGCTACAGAAGTGCCAAGCTCTCACAGCAGCACAAAGTCAAGGTAGCTGTGCTTGATTAATTTTAAATGTTGTGTAATGCTATTTACAGAGGAAAGTCAAACTCTAGACATCTCAAATGAACATAAAAATTAAAAGAAACTTTTGACACTAATATTGCTTTGCTTAAGCTGCCTATCTTTAAAATGGTGATAATTCTACTCTCTCACCACATGGGGGCATGAATATAAATTAGCTAGTGTTTGGGGGAAAAAAATCAGATATTCTTGTGATGAGCTCTATACAAAAGCCCATCAGAAAATTAATAATTCTACCTTCAGAACAGGGCTTGAATATTGTGCAGTACATAAGACATGGGGAGATACATGGAACAATGACCATGCGACAAAATACTGAATAGCTCCTCATTAAGTTATATTCATCCCAGGCACTGAATGAGGCCACGGTTCTGTGGAAAAAATGGTATGTGATCATGTAAATAAAGGCTATATCATAATACACATGCACAAAGGGGCCTAATTAAGGTCTCACAGGCAACCATAACTGGCATTTCCTGACTTACAAGTCTCTGTATTGGTAACCTTAATAATCCTGTTTTGTGTATAAAAATTACACTAAAGTCTAGCCAAACTCTGCTTTCATTTGCACCAGAGTAATCTTAGAATGACCCTGCTAAAAATAAAAATTATCCCTATATATAAACTATTTTAATATTCTACATGTTCACTTCCTTTCATATTAACTTAAATATCTATCAGTTCTTCCATGCAATAAAACACAATGATTTTTCCATATCTTCTTAAGATGATGAAATAAAGTTAATAGAAAATCTAGCGCAAATGAACTGTAAATGACATTTATGTTATAGTCATAACAGTCTGCCAAAAAGTATATGAATGTATTTCAAAAAACTTTTTCTTTTGAGTTACACCTCATAATAACCCTTGGAAAAACTTTATGAAAATGCTTGATGCATAAGACAGACATGTCAGGCATGTCTTTCATGGAAGGCTTGTACAGCTGATGACCCACACAACCATTTTGTAGACCTATATTAGATAACCTCCAAAATGCCTGGTGTAAGCATCACTTATTTATTAGAGTTAAAAACAACCTCAGAATTGCAACTAAATGCTGACTGCTGAGCTTTACATTTTTTTTCTAAATGTAAACAAGACACAAACTTGGAAGGTGTTCACTTATGCACTTTAAAGAAGGAGATCATAACAAAACAATTAATTAAAAAAAGAAATGCCATAAAAACAAAGTAAATTAAAATGAAGAATGTTTAACTTTTTATTCTTTTAAGTTGTATCACCAGTAAGACTTTATACATTTGTTCTAAATTAAAAACAATCATTTTGAGATGTCAGTGGCCAGTTATAAGTAGTTTTTAATGCAATTTATGTCTGAAGCAAGAGAAAAAACACTGCATATGCTATGTATACTTCAATATCCATGGGCACAGGTCATTACAAGTGGTTAGATGCATCAAAACACAAACTGCCAAGAAATCTGATTATGTCATCATGGATAAGACTTCTCAGACTTTTGCAGGATTAAGAAAAAAGGAGCAGAGAAGTTAAGAATAATTAATGATAGACCAACGATCCTCACTTATTGGCTATAGAGATTTTCAACTTCTATGGCTCCAGCTTAGTTTCTTGTTCTGGTTTGAAGTGGTCATATGTTCCATATAAAACAAATCAATTCTAGCAACTGAGTTCCTACGGTGTGTGTAGACTAAATGAGGGGCATGTGAGCATAACACTTTAAAGCGGGTTAAATGCTTTTGCACCGCTTAAATGGTACTGATGTTTGCATACGTTGACAGCATACTGAGCATTAATTCCAGCCGCTCTAGCACATTCGGCGGCATAATGCACCTTAAATGATTTTGGGGCGCAGCAAACTAAAACACCTCCGAGGCAGCCCGTGCAGGCAGCTTGGCAGCAGCCCGAGAAGGCAGGCTCCGACGAAGAAGAAAAAAAAAAAGCGGCAAGCCTGATCTTTTTTTTTCCGCCTCGCTGGAGCCTGCCTGCCTGCATGAGCTGTGTGGGGACCCGGTGGGTGGGTGCTGCTTGGTGGGGGGGCGCCACTGCCACGGAGGGAAGCATCAGCCCCCACCAGCAGCCCAGGGACTGCTCTGCTCACTGGCAGCTCCCCCTCCCCCTGCCAATGGAGAGGCAGGTCAGACATGAGTGTACACAACACAGGGGTTTACTTCACTTTTTAAAAACCCACTGCTTCTATGTAGGGCCCCTGTTTCATCTATACACACCCTTAATGAACAACGGTTCTTACCACAAATCATGTGCTGTCATTACAATGGCACCATTGTAATTAATGAATAGAGAAACTGAAAAATAATTCATCTTATAAAATGCTAAACCAGAAACTGGGTTGGAGTGTTGCTGTAGCTGTGGCGGTCCAGGAAACGTCCAAGAAGCATAGATTTGTTTGTGATATCTTTAACTAGACCAACTGCATAGTTGAGAGAGCTGCTGGACAAGCCTTTAGACATAAGTTCCCTTTTTCAAGTCAACCTGAAGGACACAGTATGGAAAGTCTAGTCCAGCAGATCTCCCAACTATAGAACTGATTCAATAAAACACATCACAAAAAAAAATAAAACCTTGCCAAACAGGAAAGAAAACAGACCCTCCAGAAATATTCTATGTGAAAGCAAAGGAATGTACTGTCTTGTTCTGTATTTAAAGTTCTCCATACCCGTTTTCACAAATAATACATTCTCACTGGTAAGTTTTACTAAGTAGGAAAATGAAGGGTACAATTTTTAACCAATTGCAAAGTACTGTATTTATTTCACATTTAGGCACCCTTATGCAAGTGTAAATTTATACATTGGAATTTGGGCATCATAACTTAGCTGTCCAATAGTAAAGAAGTTCAATTCCTCTATAATACAAGAAAAGGAGCCAATTTTTCTTTTGGAACAGGCTTATAAGAGAAGTGAAGAGGACTCTATATTTCTTTGTGTAAATATAATCAGATAAAATAGTCACTGAAAAGAGTTTTGGATATGAAGACCCAACTTAAGCTGAAACATGAGAGCTAGTTAGCCAAGTTAGTCTGAAGACAGGGTAGATTTGCACCTTACAGACTAACTAAAG